AAGCCTTTTGGACTTTGAGACTTAGGTAGAACTCCCACCACCACCACTACCATCCTGCAGCACTTCTGGGGCAGGAGGAACTTCTGATTGGGCTGGGCCAGGCCCAAGAATAACAGGAGCTCTGAGGTTACAGTTTCTATGAATTTAATAGATTATCAAGCCAAATGTACAAATGCTAACTGGGCACTGGGAATCTGGCACAGGGGTTGCTTGCACATACACCCTGTGCTCCCTTCTGAACAGTGGGCAGACCAAACTATTTGGTGGCCCCAACCTCAGGAAGCTCAGATTCTCTGGCTTAGGGTGACACTTCTGTCTCCCTTGTGCCACTTTGAGCCCATCCCAGCTAGGGAGAGAGAATGGTACTTTTAGAGATTGGCCCAGAATTATAGTTAGAGAGTGGGGAGCTAAGGAAATTTGAGGGGGCTTTGTGGCCAGGAAGGGGGGTTTTGGTTGCTAGAGCTTGCGTCCAAAGGGGCAAAGGCAACTCTTCTGGGCTATTTCAGGGAAGACTGGTGCAGGGGTCCTGTTGCTCCCCTGAGTCACCTTCTTCCTCTTGCTGGCTGACATCTAGGGTTTTGATTTGACCCTTTCTTTTTTAATCTACTTTTGCTAAGATGAATTTAATAAGAAAAATTTTTAAAAAAGAGAGGAGTATACAAAATGCAAACCTGTTCTCTTGCCTCTTGGGCTTCTGGGATGTCATCACCTCCAGTTTGATGGGTTTGTTTCCAACTGTTAATAAAGCATTGAAACAACACCGCCTTTCAGCCTCCTTTGTGAATTTCTAAGCTATGTTTTCTTTTCAGTCCAGGCTCCTCTATTCTTCTATCAAGGTGCCCAAGAACAGTGGACTGCCAAGAAAAAAAAGTAATACTCTCTCCAAGCTTTAGCCTATTTTATTCCAACAACCCTATCATAAGAAAATAAACTTTGAGTAGTTTCTCTCTCTTTAAGTATAACACGACAACACTTAAACCCAATTCACAACCCTGGTTGACAAGTCAGTCAGAAAGCTAAAGGTGCCAGACACTATGCTTGAACACAGGGCTAGAAATAATTAACACATGATGTTTTCTGCCCAGCCAGAGCTCACCTCAGGGCCATTTACTTTCCATAAAAAAAATAAGGAGGTGATGCAGGGGTTGGGACTCAGTGGTAGAGAGCACTTGCCTAGTACTGGTGAGGCACTGGGTTGGATCCTCAGCACCACCTAAAATTAAATAAAGAGATTGTGTCCCTATCTACAACTAAAAAAAAAAAATTTTTTTTAATGAGGTGACTTAAGCCCCCTGGCTGTACCACATTGCTGCAGTGTGGCTTGGACACCTTTTCTTGAACTGACTTCTAGCTCCCCACTTCCCCATGCCTCCGATGTCACACAATTTCATAGCAGGACCTGTGCCTCTTTGTGCTGAGCAAATCCTCTGACTCCCATTTTTCCCATTCCCAACATCTGTTCTTTTGGTGACCACATTCAAGAATAGAGAGACTTAGGGTGGGCTGGAAACCAGGAGCCTGCCCAAGCAGAGGCAGACCAAAACTGAACAGTGGGCAGACCAAACTCTGGTGGCCCCAACCTCCGGAAGACTTTGAGTACATTATCAATGTACTCAAGCTACAGAGGTCAAGCTACAGATGACTTGCAACTCAGAGCCATACTTGCTGGAGCACTTCAAAGACCCCCACAAAGAAACCTTACCCGCCAGGAGCAGTCCTGAGATAGACAGGGAGGGGCCTGGAGAGGACCACAAACCATGTTGGGCAGCCCCTGGAACTAGAAATAAAAACCTTTTAAATAGCTCCAAGGCCTGGGCAGTTGCCTCCCACATATGGCCGAGGTGTAGAGGTGGGCAGCGGGCTTCCTCCCTTCCCCTCCCCAAGAGGCCACGTGTTTCTGGCTCAGAGCTTTAAATTCCCACATGCCAATTAGGGGACCAACCACAGCTGCTCTACCCGTCTGCTGCCCTGCCTGGAATAGAACCCAGGCGCCCGGCACCCCGCCCCTCTGCAGCCTGGCTCTGAGAAACAAAACACTTATCCTATCTCAACAACAGTGCACACCACCCTTCCTCCCACGCAAGAAAGTTGCCCCCAGATGCTTCGTTGGAAGGCTTGGTTTCCATGACAACAGACCAGGAGGTGATAGAACTAGCGCCCCCCACACACACCATCACCACCCTCATTCCGCGCGGAGGAAGCCCAAAGACAGCCCTCGGGCTCAGCGGTTGGGTAGGACTCGCTGACCCTCCACATAATCCTAGTGGTCTATGATTCTGTCCTAACGCCCCTCCGGGTTCCCCCTCCCCCTCTTTCCTGCAGCTTCTGAGGCTGCGGCAATCTCGGAATTCGCTGTGCTGGGAGGAGGCCGGCGGAAGGGGTGGGGAGATGGGGGGGGTGGGGAGATGGGAGGGCGAGAGTGAATGGAGAAACACCGAGAGCAAAGAGGGAGGGCAAGCTGGATTTTCGGGCCGTCTCATTTCCTGCTCGCCTTTTTAGCCCCCTTGACCCCCTCGAGAAAAGGATGCGTCCTCCAATTTGTCTGTCTTTGCTGGTAAGAGGTGAGAGGGAAAGCAAGTTCCAGGTGGGAAAATACCGCAGGGAACAATCTCCGCCCCCGCCCTCCGCATTTCCTCCCACTCCGCGGTGTTCCCAAAACCTCTAGGCAGCAGGGGTAGAGGGAGTGCGAGAAAGAGTTAATTTTGGCGGGGAAGGGGCGGGCGAACTAAGCTAACGTCCCCCGCGCCCTCCCAGAGCTGTTTGCCAGGCGCCAACCCTCCCCCGCCGGTTCGCCTCTTCTGCCTGGAGACTGGCGCTTAGAACCTAACCTAGCGGAGGCAGCCGCCAGCATACAGCCAACTGCACACGGACACACCGCACTCAGACTCCCCACCCCCACGACGGATCCCCAAGTCCACACACACCACGGCAGACAGATCTACCAGCACAACGACAGTCCATCGCAGGCAGACACGACGGTACCCAAGCATGCACAGCCATGTTGGACAGCCCAACACCGACTCGGGATGCAACACACACACTCCCACTCCCACACTCCCTCTCTTCAGAAACAGATTTAGACCCTCTATGAGAAAACAAAATAAACAAGATGCAATCACTCGTCTCCCAATTCCGCTCTTCCAGCTTTACACCTCTCAGCTCATCACTTCACGCGTGCCAGGAGCTCCGTCTCTTAAACAGAAACGTTCACTCTTTCAGAAGAAACCTTTTTATTATTTTTTCGAAGAAAAAAAGCCATATAAATATTAGAGTATAAAACTTGCGTGAGATACAGGAAGAGGGTGGGTAGGAGCTACGTGACTATGCGAAAGAGAAGCGCTTATAGAAGGAGTCAGTACGGGGGAGGGGGTCGCCGCAGCGCGTGGACACAGCACAAAACACAGCACGGGCCGCCGCAGGCAGATTCAAGGACAGACGGCTGCGCGCAGCCCACCGCCCGCTGCCCACTCGCCATCACGTAAAAGCACACCGCACTACATACACTATTGGCTATTCTACACCAGCCGAGGGAGGGGGCTCTACACTACTTTTAAGGGCTGGGGTGGGGTTCTCTTGCAGCCGGGCTGGATGAACCGGACCGCGGGGCAGAAGTGGGTGGGCAGAGGAAGGTCTTTGCTCAAGGAGGCACTGGGGGACTTTAACCAGGCTCTGGCCACTGAGGGGTGGGCTGAGGGCCTGGACAGTGGCCTTCACAGAGAAGAAATGGCACCTGGCAAGATGAAGGACCTACGTTTTGAGTAGTACAGGGACCCTGTAGAAAAGCCCCGCCTATCTACTTGGTTTCTCTGTAGTTCTTAGCCTCCCAACCCAGGAACTAAGAATGGCCTTGCTGGGCTTCCCTTCCTATCAGGGTTCCACAGTGGCTCCTCTGGAGTACCCAGCACCCACAGAGGCCCCTCCGACCTCTCCAGGGGACCTACTCCTAAACCCAATCAGAGCTTCCTTAAACTGAAATGCCCATTTAAATTCATTGGTCCTGATAGCTCAGCCCAAAGCCGCCTGCCCCGGGCTGAACCCTATATGCGGGGGCCTAAGGGTCCAACCTGGTGCTTGGTTTATGGCTGGAATTTGGAGATCTGGCCAGTACTCTGGGGACATACAGAGCCTCCTTTAAGACCCTGTAAACTGATGGACTAAGCTTTGTCCATCCTCTCCCCATCCATATACACAAACTTCCCTTCTTTAGCTTACCACCCCCTACTGTCTCAGAACATGCAATGGAGTCTCTTGTTTGAGGAGGGGTGGGGAAAAATCACAGCATGCAGTGGGAACATCAAACAATGAAAAACAAAACAAAAGACTGGTCCCCAGGGCCTCGGGAAGAGGCTTGGTAGCAAAATGCCTTCCCTAAATCTGGCAAGCATCATCAGTACCACAGGGATGCTGACAGTACGGTGACCCCCAAAACTTGAACATTGGTCTTAGGATCTAGAGAGGTGAAAGGACTCTCACAATACCATGCTTTGGGGGAAGATTGAGAACTGAAGGAGAGACCAAGAGGTCATGATGCCTTCCCAACTCTACAGAACTATGACCCTTCTTAGATCATGTGGTACCCCAATACCCCAACCACCTTACTCAAGAGAGGAACTTTGTAGGAGCAGGATGAGGTAGGGTGGAGGGAAGCAGGGGATGGATGGGCCTGACTGATTTGGAAGATGGAGGAGTCCAGCTGTAAGAAAGGGTGTGTGACAATGGTTCTTGGTGTCTACACTAACCCCATTACCCCCATGGGTACAGCAAATTGATTGGATGGGGGTTCCCAGCAGAACTCCCTTTGCATATTCAACCCCTTGGGGGCAGAGAGAGGGGGTATTTACTGGGCACTTGTTTCTGTTTCCCAAGGGGAGCATGGCCTTAGCCCCTACCAGTATCCTGGGGGTGAGCCCTGAAATTCTGAGATCTGGGTACAGGTAAGGAGAAGCTGGGTTGGTTGGGGAAGGAGGCTGTCCTATAAGGCTCTAGGCCTGGCCTCCACGTTACTTCTTCTCCTTCTTGCCCGACTTCTTCTTGTTTCCATTGCCACCTGCTGGGGTCTTGCCATCCCTCTTGCCAGGTGCATTGGTGAGTGTGGCATTGCTGCCAGGGATGTAGACGTTCTGGCGGTAGTCGGGCACATGCTGCAGGGTGAACTGGGGTCCATAGCGGGCACTCAAGCCCATGGTGCCAGCGCCTCCTCCCAGGGTGGAGCTCCCATCAGCAGCTTCTGCAGAGAGAAGAAGGTCAGATCATCAGATGAGGGCAGTGACTCTCGTCCTACAAGCAGTTACTCAATGCCTTCAAAAATACCCTGGAGCTTACCATGATGAACACTGGGAATACACCACGTAGTCTGGATCCACAAGGAGTTGAAGGTACAGGTTAAGAGTGAGAAAACCTAGGTTTGATTCCCAACTATTTTTCTTACTGTGATCCTGGATAAATCGATCTAAACTCCCTGTGCTGCCTCAATTTTCTGATCTGCAAAATGGGGGTAGTAATAGTATCCACCTGTTCTGGTTTGGATGAAATCTAAAACTAGAAAATATACATAAAGTACCTAGAATGGTGCCTGGTGCTTGGCCAGTGCTCAGAATATGTTAGATAGTATTTCCCTCAGGGCTAAGACCCTTGGCTCCCAAATCCTTGCCCTAGCTAGCCCTTCTCCAGGGAACATCTAGCTTCCACATTAGACCATGGTTGGCACATAATCCTTTTCTTCTCCAACCATGCCCAGCACAGAGTAGTGAATCAGAAGTTCTATTATTGGGAGGAGGAACTCTTCCAAACATTCACATCTTGGAAGCATTTGACGGCCTACTCTGTGTCAAGCGCTTTGTTCCATGTTTCACATGCAGCCTCAACCCAACACCTAATGAGATATATGGGATTATCCTCATTTTACAGGTGAGGGTTGAACCAAGGCTGAGAGAAGCCCAATACCTGACCTCGAAACTTGGTCTAAGTGTATCTAAGCATATGCTGCAGGGTACAGCTACTCCCTCCACCACTGCCACCAGCTAGGATCTTATCCCTGCTCTGAGGGCAAAGGAGGTGAGAGGAGAAGATAGGGATGAATCATGCACTAGGAGACTGAGAAGATGATGACTTGGGGGACCACCTTAGTATAGCAAAGTTAGATAGAGGCTCAAAATGTCTAAGCTAAATGACATCTGGAAGTGCAGCCAGCCCAATTGTTTGCTGCACAAAAGAAGAAACTGATGTCCCTAGCTCAGCATCTCAGAATCTGCATGATAACAGGATCTCCAGGTGACTTGTAGGTACTTTAAGGTTAAAGCACATTAATAACTATCATAGGGTTTTTATGAGGATTAAATGAGATAGTGCTTCATCCAAGCTTCATCCAATGCCCAGGATAAGTGCTTAATAAATGTTAGTCACTGCTGTTGTCATACCATCATCATTGTTTCGCCCATCTACACTATTACTCTCTCTGGCTGGGTGGAGGGTGCTGAAGGGAAACAGGGCTTTGGGCTCACTGCTGGAAGACTCCGAATCCTCTGTGGCAGAGAAAGAGTTAAAACCCCAGGAATGCCCAGCCAGGGCTGCCCGGAGAACTTGCCTCTCAACCTCCCTCGGCCCCCACCCTAGACCCTGGAAGCCTGAGAGAGTGACTAAAGCCGGAGAGGCTGAGTAATCCTCGGATACCAACCAGGGATTGAGAAACAGGAAATATTTTTCAATGCCGGGGAGAGGGGGCAGGCATAAGAGGAGGAAGAACAGAGATGAGTCTCTGTCTTTCTGCCCTCCAGGCCCAGGACTGGGTTTCTGCAGCCTCCATTTCAAGTTCCAAATCCCTGGAGCTGAGGGCCTTCTGGGGGCAGGGACATGGCTGGGTGGGAAAGAGCAGCTGCTGGCTTCCTTCTCTCCTTCCCCACCGGTCCCCTCCCCCAGCCCTTTCATTGGGCTGACATTTCCCTGTTTTCCCTAATTAATTCCAGGAGGGAACTGAGTCCCCAGACGCCTGCCCCCTCCCCTCCAGCCGCCAGCCCCCAGCCACTTCTAACCTCCTCCAGCCTGGAATGGAAGCGGGGGAAGGGCCCAGATCCGGCTTCAAAGAACCAAGATTCCAGCGTGATTTAGGGATAGAAGGAAGGGGAGACCCAGGAGGTGCCAGAGAGCAAAAAGAGAGAGTGTTTCATCTGCACTGTCCACAGAAGAAAAAGAGGAAGAAATGCAGAGAAACAGGGATAAAGGAGGCAGAACAGAAAGAAAAAAGGCACTTCACAGACTCTGTGTGCACCCAAGATCTCTGAGAAGTATCCAGAATGGTGAAAATGACAGAGCACGCTCCTGCCCACCTTGTAGGGAAAGGAGATGGGGAATCCAACATGTATGAGACAGAGACCGACACTGGAGTTCTGTCTAGTCAGCTCTGCCTGTATGCTCATCTGTAAATCTGAGGGGAAGATGTTGCATTGCCAACTTTTACCTTCTATATAATCAGTTCTCCTAAACTCACTCTCTACAGCCTTCCCCCAACTCCCAGACCCACACTGGGCAAGGACCAGGATTTTCTCTTAGTCTAAGAAGACAGAGACTTACAAAAGCAGCAAGAAAGAACTTGGCCTGAGGAGACGGGGTAACTGATGCTGACTTCTCTCCTGTGCTAGCCCCACCACTGCCCAGTTACCATCCTCTGACCCCACCCAGCCCAGGGCTGAGGCAAAGACTCACAGTAGCCACAGAGGCCTGAGGAAGCTGCACCTGAGCTGGTGAAGCTGTCAACTGTAGCCTCCTTTGGAACACACATCCCCCAAGGATCCCCCTACTCCTCTCTGTCTGTCTGTCTCTCTCTCTCTCTCTTTCTCTCTCTCTCTCTCTCTCTCACTGACCCTCAGCAGCCCCACAAGCCTGGCTGGGCTGGGCTCCAGGAACCTCTCTGGTTCTGGGGCCAAGAAGTGGGTGTGAAAGTGAGAGCGCTTGACCCTGCCACCTCCCTCCTAGGTCCATTCCCCAGGGCCCACGGGCAGCCTTGGGTCAGGACCTATGTGGCTTAGAGAGGTGGAGTCCTGACAGGGGAGCGTACACTGCTATGGCCCTGCTCCAGGGAGAACTTCTAGGAGGGTTTTGGGCCATAAATACTGTTTCCATTTCTGTTTTTAACATCTGGATTTAGGCTAAAAAGCCAACTCTCTGGCCTTAGGGCTCAAGGCCACAACAGCTAAGTAGACCAGTTTACTTCCCTCAGGGGCTGGACTTGGCATCTCCCCAGAGCTGCCTGCCTCTTTCATACTCAACAGCTGGCCTCTCTAGGATTAAGGCCCATCAGACCAGGGAAAGCTCTACCCCAGGGGGCTGGCAGCCCCTACCACCTCTTCCTTCCTAGTCCTTTCATCAGCCACAGGCCCGACCCTACTTAACCTCACAGACATCTAGAGTAGGGTTGCCAGAGAACAAAAATACAGGGTGTCCAGTTATACTTGAATTTCAGATAAACAATGAGTAATTTTTTTAGTAGTCCATCTGATGCAACATTTGAGATAAACTTATGCTAAAATAGCACTTGTTGTTCACCTGAAATTCAAATTTAACTGGCCATCTTTATTTTTAAAAATATTTATTTTGGGGCTGGGGTTGTGGCTCAGCAGTAGAGCGCTCGCCTAGCACGTGTGACGCCCTGGGTTCGGTCCTCAGCACCACATAAAAATAAATAAACAAAATAAAGGTAAAAAAATTATGTTTTAGTTGTAGTTGGACACAATACCTTTATTTATTTATTTTTTATGTGGTACTGAGGATCGAACCCAGGGTCTTACATGTGCTAGGCGAGAGCTCTACTGCTGAGCCACAATCCCAGCCCCTTAACTGGACATCTTTTATTTTACAACTCTAATCTGGGAGAATAATGCAGGGCATAAGGAGGAGTTCAGCCTCTAGACATAACCAGCTAAAAGAAACTGAGGCTGGATCTAAAGGCAGAAAGTCAAAGTCACTGTCATAGAAAGAGAATGAGTTTGGGAGTAGAGCTGGGTTAGAATCATAGCTGTGATCATAACTGTGCAGCTCAAAACAGGAGGCCCCCCTCCCCCCCACCCCCAGAAGAGTGACATCTCACACCCCTCCTCTGTCAAATGTAAATCATTAGGTCTGCCTTGAAGGGCTGGTCAGGCGATTAATTGACATGAGGCACTTTGAGTTTAGTATGTGCCCTGGACCATGGTAGAGATATTATAGTTTCTCCTGGTTCTCTGCCCACCTATCCTCCAGATGTGCTGGAAGGCAGGACATAAGCCAGTGCCTTAACCCTCGTAGGCCCACATTTGCTGCTACAGAAGCTAGCCATTAGTAATAGGCATTCCTCTAATACTGCTTTTTTCCCTATAATGGGCCACCTAAAGTTAATATTTAATCAATGGTAACCACAATGTATTCTAAGGACTCTGCCAATCCTGTGCTGAGGGCCTCCCTTACATTTGGCCCTCATAACACCACAATTATTAATATTTTGCCCATTTCAAAATAAGTGAAACTGAGGCCCAGAAGGATTTACCCAAGGACTCACAGCTAAGTGGTGGCACCAGGGTTTGAATCCAAACTGACCTGCTTCCAAAGTCTGTGCTCTTAAGAACTAATGATATTATTCTACTTCCCTTGCTCAGGACCCTTGTGGTTTTTCAGGGACAGCCACCATTGACTGAGTCCCTATTACATGTGAGGCTCTTTGTTAGCTTTGTGGGAAAATCCTAGTCCTGGTCTAAAGGTGGGGGCAGCAAGAAAAAAGGAGTCTTTTTCTCTCTGCTGGGAATATCCACACCCACTGTCACTGATGGAGGGTTTGCATATGCCAGGTCCAGTCCTCTACATTTTAATCTTCACAATAACCCTTTGGAATTACTGTCCCAATTTTTCTTGGCTGAGGAAACTGAAATTCAGACAGATCAAGCAAACTGATCAAAGTCACAAGGATGGTGTGTGGCAGAGCTAGGACTTGACCTAGGCTATCCCCGTCCAGAGTTAGGCCCACATCTCCTCAATGGATGGTTATGACTTGTTTACTCCAGGCACCCAGAACCCCCAACCCCTCTGCTGTTCTTTAGCCTGGAATCAGGTTCTTTCTGACCAGCTGCAAGACCTGGAAAAACCACACAGGATGATATCCAGTCTCCATCCATGGTGGCTGTGGGAGTCACCTCCAAGCCCCACATTTCCCAACCCACCATACACATTGGCACCACTTACCGCTGGCGGAGGCCAAGATCATGGCTTGCAGCATCTCTGTGTCAAATTGGTTGTTGGGCCAGGTGCCAGTTTCATCACCATTTTGGGAGCTGGGGAGAAAGTGGGATGGTGAGCAGTGTCCCCAGCCTGCCCCATTCATGCCCCTCCTGGCCTGTTCCCAGGGTTCCCAAATGTAGTATCCTATCCCCAATCCATGCCCAAGACCTGCTCCTTTGAGTGAGGTAGGAAGTGCTTGTTCATTCCTTCAGAAGCCAGATCCCCACAAGTCAGTCACCTAAACCAGCTTATCTATTGTCGCAGATGTAACTAATAAACTGCATCCCCTCTCATCCTTCATGAAATGACACTGTTTACTGTCAGAGCAAGGAACACCAGACCCTCTTGGGAGGACAGAGAAAGAGGGAATGGGAGAGGATGTCCCAGAGCTCAGAAAGGGGTAGGAATCCAAGAAAACCTAGGGGAGATGCAGGAGGCCTCAGGAGATCCTGGAGCAGGGAGAGAAACATTCTGAAAACTCAAATAAGGTTCTTCAATGACTTCCTAAGTTCTCAGAATAAAATCCAAGGGCATATAAGAACTTGTCTTATCTCTTATATTTCACAAGAACACCCACCTCCTGCTCTATTCTCTAACACTCTATCATCAAACCTTTTCTCTGGAACTTCCCTGTTCCTCAGGTTCCCACTTGCTGCAAATCCATGGGCAGACGCTAATTCCTAGAGTGACAGCTCTCAGCCTTTGCCTTGATAACATGAATAAAATGTACCTGAGGGGAATCCCTAAACCCTAGTTGGGCCAGAGCCTGCTCTGAGGTAGCACAGTCACCCTATTGCACCTAGACAGAGGTGCACTCTACCACAGTGACCTCAGCAAGGTCTGCCTGCTTCTTACTGAAACACAGAACATGAAGCCTGGCATTTGGACCTAATTAGGACTCCTAGAGGCTCTGGATATTGAAAAAACATGAACATCCATAATTTTTAAAAATATTAACTATAAAAGAACCCTAAAGAATTACAACATAATTTAGATTTCTCCCACAGTGATATTTTCCATCTTTTTAAAAAAATATATTTATTTTCAAGGATCAAATTATCTCAATTTGTGGGGGTGGTGGGATGGGGAAGCAGCCTAGCATACACATGCAGTCTGCCTGTTAGGTAACTATTGGCAGCATCTGGCACAGAGAAGCTCCTCAATAAATAGTTGTTGCCTGAATGAATAAATAGTAAAGAAGTCAGGGGACCTCATAGGGATAGATTCCTTTGAGGTAAAAAGAAGGTTCCTTATGGGAAGGGCTTCAGGGCAGACCTTAAATCTATGAAAGTGAACGTGTAGCGGGAGGGGGGTGTTGATGCTCATGGTGGGGTGAGCACCACCAAGAACTTTACAATGTTTGCAAGTTCTGTCCCTGCTTATAATTTCTCCTGATCTGGGACTCCCCATCCCCAAGTAGGTAAACTCCGTGTAAGGCTCAGACAGAGCACATAGCTGCTGTGTGTCAGTTCTAAGCCATCATAACAAAAGGTTAGAGTGGAGGGCAAAGCAGGAATCTCATTCCTCCCTTTCCAGAGTGGAAAGAGTTGAATTCTGTGCCCACTTACTCAACAATATTTGTTTTATTTGTCTCAACAAGTATTTATTCAACAACTATTATGGATGTTCCAGACACTGGGCTAGGTGCTCATGTGGTAGGCGTGAGCATGAAAGGAATAGAACCTCTTTATGGTGCTCATGGTACACATTGAGAGGTTGATATTAAATGATCAAAAAATAATTTAATTGTAATCATGGCAGGTGCAATGGAGGCAAAGAACAGGGGACTACCAGAATATTTAAGGAGAATCCTGACCTAGTCAGGGTGAGGGAGCTCAGTTATTTTAGGCTTCTCCAAAGAAAAGATTCCAAATTTAAATCTGAACAAATTATCCAGGTGACTTGTAGAAGGAATTATTGAAAAGCACCACTTGGTAATTGCTGATATAAAAACAGATTCAGGCAAGGATCATCAGGAAACACTAAAATATTAAAATTGGGTGAAGGGCTGCTGCACATCTCAAAGTACCATCCACAGATTACTTTTTAATCACAAATATTTGAAAATATCTTTATAAAGCAGAGCACAGTGGTACCCTCCTGTAGTCCCAGCTACTCTGTAGTCTGGGACAGGAGGATTGCTTGAGCCCAAGAGTTCAAAGCTAGCCTGGGCAACAGAGAGACCATCTCAAAAAATAAAAATACATAAAAGTATCTTTATAATGGAACGATCTGGGGACATGGCTTTCACCAAGTGGACAAACTTAGCATCACTGATAATGGGACAAACTGACATCAAAGGATGCCCAGCGTGATGCTGTAGGGAGCAGAACATCACCCATGAATACCCTACCAACACTGCTTAACCTGAATCTGACCACGAGAAAACAACCAGCAAATCCAGATTGTGGGGCATTTTAAAAGACAATTGGCTGGATTTTTAAAAACTACCTATGTAATCCCAGTGGCTTGGGAGGCTGAGGCCAGGCAATCATAAATGGAAGGCCTGTCTAAGCAGCCCAGCAAGACGGCATCTCAAAATTAAGGAAAAAGTAGGGAGGTGGGAATGTGGGTCATTGACAAAATGCCTCTGGGTTCCATCCCAAGTACCAGAAAGGAAGGGGGGGAGGGGCAAGGAAGAAGAAGCAAAAGAAGGGGGGAGGTTATTCTAGATTAAAAGAGAAGGACATGGCAACCAAATGCAATTCATGCTCCTTGAATGAATCCTGCATTTTAAAGAAAAGATAGAATAAAAGGACATATTGGAGTTGGGTGCAGTGGTGCACACCTATAATCCCAGCGGCTCAGGAAGCTGAGACAGGAGAATCACGAGTTCAAAGCCAGCTTCAGCAACGTGAGGTGCTAATAAGCCACTCAATAAGTCTCTAAATAAAAAACACAAAATAGGGCTGGGGATGTGGCTCAGTGGTTGAGTGCTCCTGAGTTCAGTCTCTGGCCCCCCCTGCAAAAAGGACATATTGGAAATATTTATGAAAATCTGCTAGCAGACTGTGTATTATTGTATTAATGTTAAATTCCTCAATTGTGATAATTTCTTTGTGGCTTATATAGGAGTTCTAGGAGATATATACTGAAGTATCAAATGTCATGATGCCTTCAACTTTTATATGGTTCAGAAAAAATAATGCATGTGTATGCGTGTCTGCATGTAGAAAGATAAAATAAAGGTGCAAAATTTTAACAGTTGATTAATCTAGGTAAAAAGAGTAAGGGTATTCAGATATTCATCATACCATTCCTTCAACTTTTTGATAGGTTTGAGACATTTCAAAATTAACAAGTTGAAGGGTAAAAATAACTCACCTTAGGAGAGGTGTAGTGTTGAGAGATAGAACTTTCCAGGCAGAGAGAGTAACCCTTCCTAAACCTCTGAGGAGCTTGGTGAAAGGAGCTTGATGAATTCAAAGGACTATGAAAGAGTCACTGTGGCTACCACAGGGGTATCAGTCCAAGGTGGCAGAGTGGACACTAAAGATTTTGGTCTCATCCTCAAAACTCTGGGAAGCTGCTAAGGTATTTAAAAGGGGATTTGCCATGATATAGGATTTATGTATTTATTTATTTATTTATTTGGTACCAGGGATTGAATCCAGAGGCATTCAACCACTGAGTCACATCCCCAGCCCTTTTTTCTGTTTTTGAGACAGGGTCTTGCTATCTTGCTTAGGGCCTCACTAAGTTACTGAGGCTGGTTTTGAACTTGTGGTCCTCCTGCCTTAGCCTCCGGAGACACTGGGATTACAGGGGTGCCCCACTGCTCAGTGGGATTTATATATTTAAAAATCACTTTTGAAAGTAGCAAGTATGGAGTTTCTCCTGGAAGGACAGGAGCCCAGAGATGAGGTCTCAGCCACCTGTCTCCATGCAAATCTAGCAGTCCTCACTTCTAGCTTGACTGAGCTCTCAGGCAGGGAACCCAAGTGAAGGGACCTATAATGGGCATTAATTGGAGAGAGCAGGGAAGGAAGGCAGCAGGGAGGAGAGTCTGGCTTAGAGGAGATGGCAGGGGTCAGACACCACAGGTTAGGAGGACAGTCCATGGTGTTGAGGGAATAAAGATGAGTAGAAGGGTGGCCTGGAACCATGGTGGGCTGGATCATAAGGAAGTTTCTTGGGAACTGGTTGAAGGCTAGAAGCCAAACAGGTGGCAGGCCACCAGATGTCTGATGCTGGACAAGAGATGAGCAGAGAGGGAGAGACTTCTTTTTTAGTCATTTAATGAGAGCTCTGTTTTCTGAGTACTGGGCCAACTAGATTATGTATTTATTATCTAGTTCATCCTCAGAACCCCTCAGCAGATAAGAGTTATGATTATCCCTGTTTCTTGGCAGAAGAAATCAGGGTTCACATCCTTTCCAAATCACACAGCTAGAACCCAGAAAAATATACTTAGGTGAATTATATATTCATGCTTTTTGACTGAACAAATAAAAACCTTCAGAGAGGTACATATGAACATGTCAATGGTTGAATGATCAAATTGTCATTAAAAAAATAAAAGTAGACCTAATATGAGTGTAAAGCTGTGATCTTATATATAACAACAAACCAGGCTTCAAAACAAGGAAGCCCTGGAGCCCTAGCAGCAGATGTAGGGGTCTCTTTAAGAATTTGGGGAAAAGTTAAAAATAAAAAATGGAGAAGACTAACTACATTTGATTGATCATTTTCTAATCACCTGCTATGTGCCAAGGTCTGTGACAGTCCTAGAATTTTGAGGTAAAAGATTAGATACAGTTTTTGCCCTAAGGAGTTTGTATTCTGGTATGCTGGGGGAGGGATATGAGGGAGTATCTCATAGGCTGGACTATAATAAAATACTTCCTGCATCATGCTCAAAAAAAGTGAGAAATCTGGGAAAGTCACCCTGACAAATAGTCTGGATTTAACTGTGCTTAAATCTAAATGCAGGACTGGGGTTGTGGCTCAGTGGTAGAGCACTTGCCTAGCACACAAGAAGCACTGGGTTCAATCCTCAGCACCACATACAAATAAATTAAATAAATAAATAAAGGTACTGTGTCTATCTACA